ACACAGACAGCCTCTTCCCAATATGCGTTTTTGCAATTTACATATATGCAAAAACGCGTAAAAACGCATAAAAATAGTGCACCCATTATCAAAATTTACCATTGCCGAAAAGTGTAAGTGCATGCAGAACATCCTCTGATAACCCACGAAAATACCAAAGTACGAATTCGCGCCCTGTTTTATTCTAAGGTTATGACATTAACGTCTATCTAAACGAAATTTCTCCGTTTTTCAAATCATCCACTTCGAATTATGCGCCTCACGCTAGTGCCTCTTCATTATGGATGCCTACAGTGAACTCCACGCTGGCGTTATGTACATAAGACCTTTCGGCTTCACGTGCCATGAATAAATATGTACGTCATGCACTGCCAGTGGCGATAATGTGCTTGAGGAATGATATGTGGAATTTAAGATCATTTCATTGTTGGATTTATCTCCATAATACTACTGCGGCTGAGTGATTCCACCACGAAACTTAAAAGGAGCTGGGAAAGCGGGAGCTACAACGAAAGATGGTGGGTGAAAAAGTACAGAAGATGCCGCTGCAACGATTGGGCAGCTGTAAGCTGTTTACCAGCACCTTTCGGTTTCGGAAGAAAGCAGCAATGAATTTGGGATGCATGGAATGCTGGCTGGAATCGTCGACATTCCAGGAAATTAATGCACAACGCATTGCTGAGGATTTTTTACGGCATCTTCCTCCAGCACAAGAAACGATCGTCGTCTGGTACGTGGCCGCAAGAAATTGTATTAACCTAACGTGAAAAGAGGATTGTACGTGACGAGCTAGCACTAACGACTCAGTTAAGTGGACGGCAAAGTACATCGAAGACATACGAAAGGAATGTGTCAGTGAGTAATACAGAGACAGCTCCGGCTGCCGATGCGAAGACGCGTTTTTTGCACAGTTCCCCAGCGGGTTTTTGTTGCTAATGGCACTGTTTTTTTCGCTAGATGCTTCTAGCCAAGAGAATTGTAAGTAGCCACCACGACAGTTAGAAATTAATCCAATGACTTCCAATCCATGTCCAAAAAATCCAGCACTCTAAATGCTTCGGTTGCGGAGTTATGTAAAATTTCACGCGTTCGTACGTGAGTAGCAACGTCAATGTTGTTAACGCGTGCATTTACTCAAACACGGTCCTGGACAACGCTCAGGAAATTTCATCATTAGCATTCCGCCTGCTCTGGTTGCGGGGTTACCTCGAACTTTACGTATTCGCAAGTGATTGGCAACGTGAATGCTGTCTTCCCATGTGTTTGCTCAAACAAGGTCCTGGGTCACGCTCAAAAAATTTCAGCGCTCTAGCTGTTTTGGTTGCGAAATTACGTCAAGTTTCACGTGTGTGCACGTAAGAGGTACGTGAAAAATGGAAGGGATGTGAAAGCCGTTTTTACGTCCATGTGGTCAAAGGCCATCGTCGGTTATGCTCAGAAAGTTCCAGTCCTCTAGCTGCTTCAGTTCTGAAATTACAAAAGTGCCTACGTGGAATTTTCACGTGTCCGTACGTGGGATGCACAAGAGCTGGAAAGCTCAATTTATTTTCATGGGCACAACAGTAGGCGATAAGTAACGCTGCAAAATTGCGGCTCCCTAAAACTTCTTGATCAGCTAAATCTGGAATTGGCATGACGCCAGATCAAACGCTGGCGCGTGCATATATGAAACTTAAGGGTACGTGAAGGTTGAATTTGAAGTCTTTGAATTAAGCGCGATCAAGAAACATTTCTGTGAAATTTCAGCCCCCTAGCTTGCGCCGTTCTCGAAAACGCTTTTCCGCCAAAAAAATTTTCACGTGCCCGTACGTGAGAATCACGCGGATGTGAGCGTCCATTTTGAGGATAGGGGCCCGCACGTATATGTATAATTTACTAAAGTTTCAGCTTTGTAGCTTTTGTGGATCTCGAGATGAGAACTCGCTACAGACGCAAACACAGACACACATACATATACACAGACACACACATACACAACCCCTCGAAAATATGCGTTTTTGCATTACATAGACACAAAAAGCGCACAACTACTAAGCTGAGCAGGAAACACTACACGCCCAATCTTGATGTTTGGTATTTGGAGTCTCCAAAATCGTACAGGAACTGTTGCAGGGGTAGAATAACAAGGAAAGATGACTGTCAACAGTGGACGGAAACAGCCAGCTTCAGAGTAAGCAAAACCTGAGCAAATGCAGATGAGACAGCTGCTGCTCCTGCTCCATCCCGCAGTGGCAATACTTCAAAGTAGGAATGAGTATGGGACTCCGCACTGAGCAGTCTTACTAGAATTATTTAAAAATCTTTGATGAGACAGATAGCATCCGGCACGGACATTCTGTTAACTGAAATTCAAACGAGCAAGTGCAAATTCCCCTTCCATTGGTCCGAAAAGACATGCAGCCTTCTCGAGAGTGGTGGTTCTGACATTTCATCAACGCTGCATTCGCCATACAGTTCAGTCCATAATAAGAAAACAGAAGTCTGCATCCAGAAGGAATGAAAACCCAGGCTCGAACGTAACAGACGGACCGGT